AATGAAGTCCTCCGGCTGGGCTGGAGACGCGGCGGCAAGGTTAAAATCCCTGGCCGCTCTAGCAGAGGGCCTCCTGGAGGCTGCTAACTCCAGTTGCAGGAGATCTGATGCCCTCTCTGGCAGCCACCAGCATTGCATACGTGTGGGGCACATAAGTAGATTTTTTTTTTTTTAAAAAGGCTCCTTTCTGTGTAGCGGAGGGAATGGGACAGGGATGAAGCTGACAGATTACAAGGATATAGATATTGAGTTGATCCTCCCTGACTACGGTGCTGAGGGAGCTCCCAGAGAAGGACCCGGTTGAGAAGGGTCCTGGGTTCTAGGCCATGAGAGCTTGTGGAGAGCTTACCAAGGACCCTTTACTCCTCTGAATGCAAAAGAGGAATGCAAAAGTCGTATCCTAGTCCTCAGTTTGACTGAAAGGTTTGACCCATGCCTTTCATGACGAAGCCCTGTAGTCTAGCCATCGTGTCACGAGTTGCAAATGGTACGATGTCTACCTGAGGGATGTCTTTAAAAAAAAAAAAAAACCCAAATACTGAAGAAAAGGCATCTTTAAGAATGTGAAAGTAGGCAGTGTGAGTATGAGGCCACAGAGTGAGTTCCAGGACAGACTACACAGAAAAACCCTGTCTTGAAAAACCAAGAGACAGACAGACAGACAGACAGAGAGCACTCAGGTCCCATGGGAAGGGCAGGTAGGAGCAGGTAGGGACCATCAGTAACCGGGATTGGCCCTTTCTATGAAAACCAAACCTTGGGAAGAAGGGGATCAGAGGCACAGGCCCGAGCTGGCTGTCAACTTGGAAGATTTTCTTTGAACCCCAGCTAGGATGTCTCCCTGGGTCAGACCTGAATTCCCTCTGTAGTTCCACAGAGATAGCCAGTGAGAAAGCGTGAAGTACAGAGCGCTGCATGAGGCGCTCCCGTTCCGAAGAGTCCCCCCACAAGCCACCAAACCGAGGCTTGGGCGATTTACTTTTTAAGTTCTCTGGAGTCGGGCCGACAGGTCCGGAAGGTTTAGTATTCGTCCAGAGATGCTGGAATCGAGGGCCGCCAGGACTCCCCATCCCTGAGGCTAGGTTCTTGTCTCATGAGTCCTAGGAACCGTCCCTGTGATCAACACTGAGTGCCAAAGAGAAGGAGGATCACTGAGTGGCTGGGGCAGAGCTCCTGAGAGCCAGACCGAGGTGGCACCGTCCCCAAGTGGATTGCTGTTTCTGACTTTTTGTCTGGTATTTTAAGGGAGGCCTCTGAGGGGCTGGAGAGATGGCTCAGAGGTTAAGAGCACTGTCTGCTCTTCCAAAGGTCCTCCGTTCAATTCCCAGCACCCACATGGCGGCTCACACCAGTCTGTAACCCTGATCCCAGGGGACCCGACATCCTCACACAGAGACAGACAGGCATGCAGACTAAACGCCAATGCACATACTAAACAACTGAACAGGTGAAAGAGAAAGGAGCGGGAGAGGGACCGAGTGGGGAGCAGTCTGTCGTCTGTAGTCCGTCGTCTGCCTCTTCTCCACTTTCTTTAAACAGGAAACAAGGGCCACAGCTGTCATAAATGATCTAAGCAGGCTTCGGTAACACCCATGAGTGGGTAACACCATGAGTGGGAGGGGCTGAGGTGGTAGATTGGCCAAGGGGTTATGGAAACTTTTTTTTCTTTTTTCTTTTTTTTTTCTTTTCTTTTTTTTCTTTTTTTTCTTTTCTTTTTTGTTTTTTTTTTCAACACAGGGTTTCTCTGTGTAGGCCTGGCTGTCCCGGAACTCACTCTGTATAGCAGACTGGCCTCGAACTCAGAGATCTGCCTCCCGAGCGCTGGGATTAAAGGCGTGCGCCGTCACCCACTGCCTGGCTGTGGAAACATTCTTATGAACTACCTGACACTAAGTGTTGTGACTTGGTCCCTACTTGCATTCTGTTTTTGTTTCCAACAGACACATATGGAAAGTGGGGAATTCAGCTATGCATGGAAGCAGAGGTGGGGTATCTCTGAAAGTTGGGGGCCAGCCTGGTCTACAGAGTGAGTTCCAGCACAGCCAGGGCTTTAAAAAAAAAAAAGTGATTTGTGACTTCTGGCAGACATAAATATATTCTGATGAGACTGATCTCATCTTGTCTCTTGATCTAGCAGACCATTGAAACACTGAATCCCAGAGAAACAAGATTTCCTCTGGAATCTCAAACTGCAAGAAAGAAAAGCCCCAGGCAGAGTGGAGCCTCGTGTATGGAAAGATTCCACACAGCTCTAACACCGTCACAGACCATCTCACAGGAAGAGCAGGAAGCATGGAATCGGTTGTGTTAGGGCAGGGCTAGGCCACACCTTGACACGGCTGCTTGGATGTGCGTACTTCTGTCTGCTCAAATTTCAGTCTCACTTCAGAACCCCAAGGACAGACTTGGGGGTCACTGGATCTTTTGCTCTCCAATGTGGCCACAATGAATAAATCTTTTTCTGCTTTTCATTAAGAAAAAGAGAAACAATAGAACACTGTCAGGAAGGGGACTGAGGGACAGGGTCACAGGGTCCAGTTGTGGGGTGTCCACCAGAGCAGACTGCTAGGAAGCACGGTTAAGCCCATAGAAAATCTTTATTAACTGGCCAGTGACTACACTGGGCGTTCTGGACCCCGATGTAGCTTTTAAGAGCAAAAAACTGTATCCTGGATTGACACTATGTAGCCCAGGTCGGCCTAAGGCTCTCTATGTACTCCAGATAGGTTGAAGACCCCTGCCTCATCCTCTGAAGTGTCTGGGTTACAGGTGTAAGCCTCCGCAGCAGGCTCTGCTTGTTATACTCTGGATCTGACATTTTTCCCAGAGTCCAGCCCAAACGTAATTCCAGGAATGGACAAGGGTTGCTTCTATGAAGAGAACTGGGGAATAGAAAGGGAACTGACTAGTATTTCCACTTTTATTTTATATAAATCATTTTAAGGTTTGTTTTCAACCTTTTTTTCATCTTATTTATCTGCATTGAGGTTTTGCCTACATGTATGGCTGTGTGAGAACACTGAATCCTGGAACTGAAGTTACAGACAAGTGTGCACCGCCATGTGGGTGTGGGAATTGAACACTGGTCCTCTGGAAGAGCAACCAGTGCTCTTAACTATTGAGCCATCTCTCAAGTCATTTTTTTTTCCAAGACAGGGTTTCTCTGTCTCCTAGCCCTAGCTGTCCTGGAACTCACTCTGTAGACCAGGCTGGCCTCGAATGCAGAGATCCGCATGCCTCTGCCTCCCAAGTGCTAGGATTAAAGGAATGTGCCACCACGACTGGCCTTAACTTTTATTTTGGTTTGTTTTTTTTTTTTTTTTTGAGACAGGATTTCACTATGTATCCTTGGATGTCATGAACTCATACCAGGTTGGCCTTGAACTCATAGAGATCTGCCTGCCTCTGCCTCCTGAGTGCTGGCATTATTTTATCTTTATGTGTACATTTGCATGTGAGTGTAGTGCCTGAAGAGGCCAAAAGAGGGTGCTGAATCCCCAGGATCTAGGCTCACAGGTAAGTCTGAGTCTCTAGAGTCAGACATGGGTGCTGGGAACTGAACCTCCGTCCTCTGCGAGAGCAGTAAATGCTCTTAAGCAATGAACCATCTCTCCAGACCCTATTCTCTCTTTGTTCTTAAGATGGGGTCTCATGTACCCCAGGATGGCCTGGAATTATGTTTATAGCAGCAGATGGACTTAACTTCTGATCCTGCTGCGTCTACCGAAAGGTGCTGGAGCTGCAGACATACACTGCCCGGTTCATGATGTCTCGTTGCAGAAATGGCTCCCGACACCTTGCGCATGGCGTTAAAAGTACTAAATTGTTAGGGACAGAAAAGCCCCAGGCCTGACCTATGCCTCAAAGCAGCCCAGTGGGTAGAAGCAAGGAAAGCAGGCTCCTCAGGAAGTTAGCTGTTCAAACTGAGCAGCCGACACACTGATCTTTTAAATGGGTCTGAATGGCTCAGTGGTAAAGCATTTGTTAGCAGTGTATGCATTAAGGGGCCTGGTGGACAAAGGCAGCTGGACGAAGGTACGCGTCACCAGGCCTAATGAACTGAGCTCAGGTGCCACATGACTGCGGAAGGAGAGAATCAGCCCCACCAGCTGTCCCCCACAGGCCCGTTTGTAAGCTGGGGTGCAGCACAACCACAGACCCACTCCATGGGTAGAAAGAAAGGTTTATTTAGAAATCAAACTGCCAAGGTTATTGCCCCTCGGGGGCCAGAAAGAACAAAAGTGTAAAAGGGAATGGATTGTAGATGACATTCAGCAGGGTGGGGTCTTTCAGGTGACACAGGCTGTTTGGATTGACCCAAAACTAGACGCCCTTGCATGAGGTATCGGACCCTCAGGACGGTTAAGGGCATGTGGTGGCCTGAGGGAGGTGCGTGGTAAACAGAAACCATCAGGCATTGCCTGACCCAGTAACAGTCCTGCTGTTTACCTGGCCAAAGCCCTTCCGTGTAGGACATTGTCATCAGCACTGCCATTTTGGACCTAACAGTGTTGTTGTGGTAAACACACACACACACACACACACACACACACACACGCACACACACACACGCCTCTTCCTCCATAAAGCAAGCTCAGTGTGCGTGAGACCCCGGGTCCAGTTCTGTTCGTTGACATCTGCTAGCACGCCTATGACTCCCACATTTGCCCTGGACAGAGCTCACGCACCGGCCAGAAGAAAAGGTCTGTGAACGGGGTGTGGCCGACACTGGCCTGTAACTCCAGGGCTCCGGAGGTAGAGGTCCGGCGCCTGGAGAGCTGGCTCACGTTCCGGTCCTCTTCCAAGAGCACCGGGCTTCATCAGCATTCCCACAACCATTTGGGACCCCAGTTCCAGGGAACCCCGATGATGCCCCGCTGGCCTCCCCAGGCGCCAGGCACAAAAGCGGTAGAGACATAAATGCAGCCAAAACATCTCTATACAGAAAAAAAATATATATATATATATATATTTTTTTTTTAATTAAAACTGGTCGTAGCGGCGCACGCCTTTAGCCCAGCACTCCCGCCGCAGAAGCAGGCAGAGCCCTGTGGGTTTGCCTGCGCAGCTGAACTCCAGGCCAGCCGGGCCTCAGAGTCACCTGGGGTGGGTCACGGCCTCTGAGAACCTCATTTTCTCTGCTGGGATGGCAGAGACAAGCGAACTTGGTAAAGACGGAGCCAGCAGCCTCTAGCTGAGGCTCAGGGCCGGCGGGGTTATTTTTGTCCCCCAGAGCCCGCTTTTTCCTGGAAATCGCGGATGGCTATGTGCGCCCTTAGAGGTGACAGGACTGTTTGGGGCGTTTAGGGGTGGGGCCTTCCGCTCCGGTGCCTAACGAGATAACAGTCGTTGCCAGATGCCAGATTTGGGGTCGCTCCCAGTGCTGGACTGTTGGCGAATCGCGAGGACTGCCCCAGAGCCCTGGCCTAGTCTGTGTCCTCTGGCGGATTCCAGAAAGCCGAAGGAGGTGGGATCTGGAGCCACACGGCTGGACGTTAGGAAGCGAGAGGCCGGTGAATCTCAGAGAGGCCCCACCTGGGAACCGGGGCCTTGGGCAGGGCCATGGCTACGCGGTCCTCCAGGCCGCGGAGGGGAGCTGGCAGGGGCGCCGGTGAGCGCTGGCGGGCTGGGAGGGGGCGGGGTGCTGGGGGACGTGGGAGGCGGCGGATGCCTGCGGGGCTGTCATCCCCGGGGTGCGGGGCTGGAAGGCCGAGCGGCGGAGGCTGCGCTAGGCGGGGGGCGGCTGCAGGCCGCTGACCTCTGACCCCTCCCACCCTGCAGCCCAGCGGGGCCTGGGGAACATGGGTGCCTGGACTTCCAGGAGCCGCGCCCCCACGCGGGAGCCCGAGCCCCGGGAGGTGCTGGACCTCAGCCGTCTGCCCCCGGAGCTGCTGCTGCTGGCGCTGAGCCACGTGCCCCCGCGCGCGCTGCTGCTGCACTGCCGCCGGGTGTGCCGCGCCTGGCGAGCCCTGGTGGACGGCCAGGCCCTGTGGCTGCTGCTGCTGGCCCGGGACCGCAGCGCCGCCGGCCGCGCCCTGCTGACGCTAGCCCGCCGCTGCCTGCCCCCCGCCCGCGAAGGCGTGCCCTGCCCGCTGGGCCAGTTCTGCCTGCGGCGACCGCTAGGACGCAACCTCATCAGCAACCCCTGCGGCCAAGGTGAGGAGCCCCGAGAGCGCGGCGAGGGCGGGGCCGCGAGAGGACCGTTGCGCAAGGCGGAGGGCGGGGCCCCCAGGACGCTAATGGCTGGGCGAGGAGCGACCGCAAGGGGCGGGGGCGGGGTCACGAGAGCCTCGATGGCCGGAGTGGGGGCGTGTCCACAGGGAGCCAATGGGAAGGGACGGGGCGGGACCGGAGGGGCTGAGGGGCGGGGTCACGAGAGCATTGATGGCTGGAGTGGGGGCGTGTCCACAAGGGAGCCAATGGGAAGGGACGGGGCGGGACCGGAGGGGATGAGGGGCGGGGTCACGAGAGCATTGATGGCCGGAGTGGGGGCGTGTCCACAAGGGAGCCAATGGGAAGGGACGGGGCGGGATCACAGTGGACGGGAGGAGAGGGCTTGCGGGCGCCGCCGCAGGAGAACCGACCGAAGGTGCTGAGGCAAGGGAACCGGTGAGAGAGGATAGGGCAGAGTCTCAGGATCTGTGATGGGCGAGGCCTGAGGGACAAGCCGACCAAGAGAAGCAGAGGGGGGGCTAGAAGTGGGGTCCCACTTGACCCGGTTAGAACCTGACCACGGGGATGCTCCAGCCGCCCGAGACACCGATACGCTGGGAGCCACCGTTGAGCGATTCAAATTGGCACATGAACATCTTTTGTTTGGCTTTAATTTTCTTTTTTTTAAATTTTAAAGGTTTCTTTATTTGCTATGTATACAGTGTTCTGCCTGCGTATGTGTCAGCAGGTCAGAAGGGGGCGTCAGATCTCATTATAGACGGTCGTGAACCATCGTGTGGGTGCTGGGAATTGAACTCAGGACCTCTGGAAGAGCAGCCAGTGCTCTGACCTCTGAGCCGTCTCTCCAGCCCTTAGTTTTTTTAATGTATTTTTGTTGCTGTGTATGCGTGCTTGTTGGAGGCCAAAAGAGAGGCAAATGAGTTTTTTAGTAGGTTGTTGTTGTTGTTTTGCGGGCTGGAGAGATGGAGGCTACAGGCACTGGCTCTTCCGAAGTCAGTTCCCAACACGCTCGTGGAAGCTCACAGCCATCTGTAAACCCATTATCAGGGATTATCACCCTCTCTTCTGGCCTCCAAAGGCACCGGACACACCCGTGATGCACAAATATAAGGTTTTGATTTTTTAAAATTATTATTATTATTATTAGTGTGTGTTCGTGAAAGGGCACAGGTGGCCCGCCTTGCATAGTCAATTCCCTCCTTTTGTTTTTGGGTGAATTCTGGGGGTTGGATTAAGGTTTACCCACTGAGCCACCCTGCCTGCTATGCTTTCTAATTCTTTTCAGGCTGGTGTGTGTGTGTGTGTGTGTGTGTGTGTGTGTGTGTGTGTTGAGGGGGCTCAGCATCACTGGTCCACCGATTAGCCCACTCACACTGTCTTTACTTTCCAGAAGGCCTCCGCAAGTGGATGGTTCAGCACGGCGGGGACGGCTGGGTGGTGGAGAAGAACAGGAAGCCCGTGCCCGGGGCCCCCTCACAGACCTGCTTTGTGACTTCCTTCAGGTGAAAGCCCATTCCCCCAAGGGCCCGAGCCCCTGTCGGGAAAGGCCTGCCTGTCCTCACCGCCCCTCTCCCCCCTTCCCAGCTGGTGTCGCAAGAAGCAGGTGGTGGACCTGGAGGAGGAGGGTCTGTGGCCAGGGCTGCTGGACAGCGGCGGTGTGGAGATCGTTGTCTCTGACTGGTGAGTGTGCCCTCACCTAAGCCTGTCCATGGGTGTGGCCAGCCCTAGGCCTCAGTCAGCCTGGTGGACTGTTTGGTATGACTTGAGTCTCCAACAAAGACCCTCTTGGCAGACACGGCTCTAAAGGGCCCAGAGATCATTTTCACTAGACCTTTTTTTTTTTTTTTTGAGACAGGGTTTCTCTGTGTAGCCCTGGCTGTCCTGGACTTGTAGACCAGCTTGGCCTTGAACTCACAGAGCTCTGCCAACCTCTGCCTCCTGAGTGCTGGGATCAAAGGCATGCACCACCATGGCCAGCTTCAGGAGAACATTTTATTGGGGCAGAAACAAGTACAGGGACTGGGGCTTGAACCCAGGGCCTTGTGCATGCCGGGAGAAGCCACCACCCCGGGTCTCCTTTATTTTTGTAAAACCTGGTGAGACAGATTCCCCAAGTCCAGGCTGGTCTTGTTTGTATCTGAGCTACTCTCATGTCAGCCTCTGTAACCACCGCAATTACACATCTAGGCCAGCAGGCCCATCTTGTAAGCTTTGGAGGTCAGGGCAGGCTCAGTGCGTGCACATCTGTGAGAGGCCATCCTCTATCATTCCTCGGGTTGAGCCCTCCTGGCTTCGCCTGCCCAAGCCGGGGTTATAAGCATGTGTCACTGCTCCCGGCACTATCCCTGGCTTTTCAGCTCTTCCTCTCCCTCCCCGCCCTTGGGTTTTTCGAGACAGGGTTTCTCTGTAGCCCTGGCTGTCCTGGACTCACTTTGTAGACCAGGCTGGCCTGGAACTCACAGAGATCCGCCTGCCTCTCCCTCCCCAAGTGCTGGGATTACAGGCATGCGCCACCGTGCCTGGCACTTTTCAGCTTTCTGTTTTATTTTGAGACAGAGTCTCGCTATGTAGCCCTGGCTGACCTGGAACTCGCTGCAGGCCAGACTGGCCCAAAACTCACCGAGATCCACCTGCCTCTGCCGCCACCCCAGCAACACCCAGACCCTGACGTGAGTTCTGGGGTTCAGACCAGAGCTTCTTACATGAGTTCTGGTGTCCCCATTCTCCTGTGGCGAGCACTTCACTGACTTAACTCGAGGAGACCCTATCGGGGAACTTAATTGTACCCACCGGGAGGCTAGACACTCGAAGAGTGACCCAGACCTGCCCTTCCCACAGGTGGGGGGCTCGCCATGACTGCGGCTGTAGGTACCGGCTCCTCGTCAAACTCCTGGACGCGCACCAGAACGTCCTAGACAAGTTCTCGGCTGTGCCCGACCCCATTGAACAGTGGAACAACAATATCTACCTGCAGGTGAGCCTCTGAGCAAAGCCAAAGGTCAACCTCTTGCTCACTGGGGACGGGGGTGGGGGAGGGAAGGAGAGAAGAGGGGAGGGGAGAAGAAGAGGGGAGGAGGTCTTACCAATCCCCAACATACTATTGCTCTTTGGTTTTTAACCTGTGTATGTGTGTGTGTGTATGTGAGTGTGTGTGTGAGAGTGTGTGTGTGTGTGTGTGTGTGAGTGTGTGTGTGTGTGTGTGTGTGTGTGTGTGGTGTGTGTGAGTGTGTGTGTGTATGTGTGTGTATGTGTGAGAGTGTGTGAGTGTGTGTGTGTGTGCTGTGTGTGTGTGTGTGAGTGTGTGTGTGTGTGAGTGTGTGAGTATGTGTGTGTATGTGTGAGAGTGTGTGAGTGTGTGTGTGTGTGCTGTGTGTGTGTGTGTGTGTGAGTGTGTGTGTGTGGTGTGTATGCATATGGAGGCCGTGCCTGCACATGGACATGTGGAAGGCAGAAGAACCAGTGTCTTTTCCTGTCACCCCCAGTCTCTCTCCCTGAACGAGGAGCCCATGACTTGGCCAGTGAGTTGTGAGGCTGCGCCCGCCTGTCTCAGCCCTAGAGATGCAGGCGTGCACAGCCCCGCCGCCGGCTTGTGCATGCGTGCCAGGGGCTGCACCTGGGCCCCTTATACCCGCACGCCGGGCCCTGCCCTCTCTTGTGCCTTCTGAGTCAGAACGTGGAGAGAGCTGGGCTGCAGCTCTGCCGGAGCCTCTGGTTCAGACGGCAGCGTGAGAGCTCTGGCAGGCTGGGAGCGGTGGGTGACCGCGCAGCTGGCTGAGGTGGCTGTGGCGTGGCCCTGCTGTGAGGAATCACTGTTGACTTAGCCTCAGAGCTCCTCCGAGATGTCAGGCCGCCCCAGGCCAGACTTCCTCCACAGCAGCTGGGGTAAGGCAGCCAAGAGAAACAAGCTTCCGCTGCTTGGCCTGTTCTGACCCAGCCGCATTTTCATTTGTTTGTTTGAGACAAGATCTCGTGTAGCCCAGGCTGATCTCGAACCGACGGTGTAGCTGAGACTAAACTCGAGCTCCGATTCTCGCTTCCATCTCAGAAATGATGGGATAATTGCAGCCGTGCATGGCCACACCCACAATTCCTGCCCCATTCTTGGTGATTAAACCTCTTTTATTTGGTTGTGGTTTTTTTGTTTCTTTGCTTGTTCCTTCCTTCCTTCCTTCCTTCCTTCCTTCCTTCCTTCCTTCCTTCTTGAGACAGTTTCTTACTCTGTAACCCAGCTTCCTGGATGTCACGCTGTAGCCTAGGCTGCCCCCTAGATTTCTCCTCCTGCCTCAGTCACTCAACCCCAGGCTGACAGGAGCTTGCTGCCACACCTAGCCGTAGAGCCCACTGTTAATGAGGACGTGGGAAGATCGCAGGGGCTAGGCAGTGACACAGCCACCATCTGGGGACAGGAGGGCTGACGACATGAGGGCTTCGACACAGGCTGACTGCCTCCTTCCGCCTCCAGGTGACCCACGTGTTCTCCAACTTCAGGAGGGGCGTCCGTTTCGTGTCTTTTGAACACTGGGGTCAGGACACGCAGTTCTGGGCTGGCCACTACGGGGCCAGGGTGACCAACTCCAGCGTGATGGTGCACATCCGTCAGTCCTAGTCGAAGGCCGCCCACCGTGTTGGCGAGACGACCTGACCGTGCCTTCCAGGAGCTGGGGCTGCTGGCCGGACGGCTGGCCGCCTGAATGAAGCGCTCACAGCTCCCTGGCCTAGGAGGAAGGGTCCCGCTGGGAACGCTGGAGGCCTCCACCACATCTACCGATTGCTGCCGCCTTAGAGCAGGGGCGCACGGGTGCATGCTGTGTCAGAGAGGCCTCGGGCTGCCTCTCCGTCAGCCCATCCCTCTGCCCCGTCCCCAGTCTTGATTCCCCGACCCTTTTTTAAAGACAGGGTCTTGCATATCCCAGCTGGCTACAAACCAAGGAAGACCTTGAATTCCTTCTGCCTTTGCCGCTCAAGTGCCGGGCTCACAGGCGTGTGCCAGCACCGCTCAGGTCCGGGCCGTGCTGAGGGTGATCCAGGGCCTAGTGCATGCCAGACAAACTTATTCTACCAACCAAGCCACATCCCCAGCACCCCCTTGCCTCCTCCTGTTTCAGCCTCAGGGACTTTCCTTGTCCCTCCCTCCACTCATGTCTGAACTCAGAATTTATGGCTAGCAAAATTCCAGCCCCAAGCTCTCGTGGCTACAACCAGGTCTCCTCAGTGAAGGGTAACCAGGCCATATGCCCACAGATCTCCCCAGACAATGAGGAAGTGCCCAGAGCCCAGACCCTGCTCCTCTGAGATTGTATATTTAAAGCTATTTGTCCTTTCTCAGACCATGAGAGAATAATATATCGGCACTGTCTGTCTGCCGATTGCACTGTAATAAATCGATTATTTTGCCTAAACTGGTTCAAATCTCTTTGTTTGGTTTCATCTTTTCTATGCTTTCTTTTATCGCTATTGTTGTTTTGAGACAGGGTCTCACTGTGTGGCTCTGGCTGACCTGGAACTCACTGTGTAGATCAGGATGGACTGGAACAGTCTTCACCGGCCCCTGCTGTGTGTGTGTGTGTGTGTGTGTGTGTGTGTGTGTGTGTGTGTATGTGTTTGGTGGAGGTACAAGTGTGCCACAGCAAACATGTAGAGATCAGAGGACAACTTTCCACTCCACAGATCCCAGGGATCAAACTCAGGTCACCTGGTTTGGGGGCACCTTTAGCCAGCCACTGAGCCATCTTGGCAGCCAATATTCTGGTCTTTTTATCAGACAGGGTGTGGTTTGGAACTCATGACAATCCTCCTTTCTGCATTTCCCAAGTGGCAGCATTGCAGGTGACACAAGGCCGTCTTCAGGTCTTTGTCTTATTTCTGAGGCAAGTTCTCATACTGCCCTCACACTCTCTGTCTGCCAGTCATGGCCTTGAACTTCTGAATCCCAACTGCTAGGAACTGAACCCTAGTTCTCTGTAATAAAAGGACACTCAGTTTTAACCACTGAGCCATCGTCTCTGCAGCCCCAAGATTTTCTTTCTGGGTGGGAGATTCACTTTATTATTTACTATCCATTTATTTCTTTATTTATTGCTTTTTCCAGACAGGGTTTCTCTGTGTAGCCATGGCTATCCTGGAACTCACTCTGTGGACCAGGCTGGCCTCGAACTCACACACCTCCCTCTGCCTGCCAAGTGTTGGTATGAAAGGTGTGCACCACCACCACCCTGCTCCGGGTGGGAGATTTATTTCTTTATAAATAAATGAGTTTCTGTCTGCATGTATTGCTGTGTGCTATGGGTGTGCAGTACTTATAGAGGCCAGAAGGGGCGCCAGACCTCCTAGGGCTGCAGTTAGAAAGACCTGTGAGCCACCATATGGATGCTAGGAACTTAGTCCCAGTCCTCTGGAAGAGCAGCGCGTGCTCTTCACCTCTGACCCATCACTCCAACCTTAAGAGATTTATTACAGAAGCCACTAAGGCCATAGACAGACAGCACCTTGACGGGAGTTCTGAGGACAGTTCAGGCCCATGCAGCAAAATTTGGGTTCCTTCTTACGGATGTCTATGGAAGGAGGAGACTGTAAATGACCAGTGCCCACAGTCCAGGCTATCAGTCAGACTGTCTCCACATCAGCTAGGAGGGTGGGAATCTGGAAAAATGTGTTACCGTAGTTCTGAAAGCCAAATTATTGTAGCTTCAGAGCTGTCGAAGTTCAACCAAAAGGAAGGGGCTTTACAAAATGGCCACAGTGAAGCCACTGAACTAGACCACTTCATGGGTAGAAAAAGGGTTTACTGGAAATCAAACTGCCAAGGCTGTTCCCCCCACCCCCGGGTGGTGGGCAGAGGTGAAATGACAAGCAGATTTTATGTGACAAGACAGTGAAGTTTTTTATTTTTATTTTTTATTTTTTGAGTTTCTCTGTGTAGCCCTGTTTGTCCTGGACTCACTTTGCAGACCAGGCTGACATGGAACTCACAGAGACCCGCCCGCCTCTGCCTCCCCGAGTGCTGGGATTGGAGGCGTGCGCCACCGCACCGAGCTTAATAGAATATTTTAAAGTGATGGAGCCTCACCAGATGTAGTGGTACATACATGAAGCCCCAGCGCTTGAGTCATGGAGTCAGAATATCAGGAGCTGGTGGCTGGCTCTCCTACGCAGAGTTCCTGAGGCTAGCCCAAGGTACAGGAGACTGTGTGGACTTCTTCCCCTACTCACACACACCTCAAAAAGGTGAACAGGTTCAATGGTAGAGCCCCTGCCTAGACTCCCCAGTGAGGGGCTGGCTGTGGCTCAGTGGTGGAGCCCCTGCCTAGATTCCCCAGTGAGGGGTTGGGGTGTGGCTCAGTGGTGGAGCCCCTGCCTAGAACCCCCCAGTGAGGGGCTGGGGTGTGGCTCAGTGGTAGAGCCCCTGCCTAGATACCCCAGTGAGGGGCTGGGGTGTGGCTCAGTGGTGGAGCCCCTGCCTAGAATCCCCCAGTGAGGGGCTGGGGTGTGGCTCAGTGGTAGAAGGTTGCTTATGTTGGAATGACTGCTGATAAAGCATAAAGACCTAAAATTTTATCTCCAGCATAGAGGGATAAAAGAAAAACACAGGACTGGGGGATTTCAGGCTGTGAACTCTGGTGACAGTGGTGAAAACTGATCTGCCCCAGAGACAACTCCACCGTCCCCAGGGGACCCTGCATCCTGGTCTCTTCTGACCCACGCAGGGTCAGAGAGGGAATGCAGGGCGGAGCTGGGTGTGGCCACACCAGCCCACAGCAATGCCGCCTCCCAGGCAGCTCCAGTCACTGGCTGGAGAAACGAGTTGCTAGGACCCCGACCCTGAGATTAGGCCCTTCTAGCCTGTGCTGCCATGTGTTGGGGGGTGCCCATAACTGGGGTCAGAGCGCCCGCCCTCCTGTTCATATCCAAGCTGGCCACATCCTCCCACTAGGGCTCTGCGCTGCCCTCATCTCGTGCGTGCATGCGTGCGTGCGTGCGTGCGTGGCCCGCCTCCCTGACCGTCTCTGAGGCAGGGTCTCACCGCGTGGCCCAGGCTGCCCAAACCCTCAGCAGTTTCCCTTTTTCCCGTGGGCTGTGATCACAAACGGCTCACCTCCCTGTCCGCCGGGATGCCGTTTCTTTGATTCTCTTCCTTTGGGAGGATAAAGGTCTTCTGTCTCCCGGGCTGACTTTGAACTGGCGCTGTAGTTGAGCACGACCCTGACCTCCCGCTCCTCCCGCCTCCACCTTGGGGCTTTTTGCACCTCTAGGAACTGAAGCCAGGGCTTCACGCATGCTGGGAAGGCGCTCTACTGGCCGCCCTCCACCCCCTCCCTCTTAACATGAGTCTCCGCGAGTAATTTTCCGTGTCAGCCAGGAAGGCGCACAAGTGAACAGCAGCATGAAGGAGCCAGCCACAAAACTGACGCTTGTGTGTAAGACCTAAGAATCGGCAGGAAGGGCCGGTGAGAGGGCGCAGCGGGTTAGGGCCCTTGCAGCCAAGGCTGATGACCTGAGTTAGTCATCTACCAAATCTACACGGTACAAGGAGACCCCTTATAAATTGTCCTCTGGCCACCACACACGTGCTATGGCAATGCACACACCCATAAATAAACAGACAGACAGATGACAGATAGATACATACATACATACATACACACACACATACATACATACATATTTTCAAAACACTTAAAAAAAAACATAACAGTCGGAGCCAGGCAAGGTGCAGTGTCCCTATAATCCCAGAACTCAGATGAAGGCTAGAGGATTCCGGGCTTGTAGCCAGTACGATCTACACAAAGAAAGGGGGGAAAGGCAGAAAAAACGAGGCAATGTGGTGCCCATCTTTAATTCCAGAGCAGGAGGTAGAAGCAGGCAGATTCCTGTGAGTTCTGGGCCGGCCAGAGCTATATTGTGAGACCCTGTCTCGAGAAAAAAAGAGAAAAGAAAAAAAGAAAGAAGAAAAGGAGGGACAGAGAGGAACAGACTGACAGAAAGCCACAACTAATCAAATGCATAAAAAAACTGATTATGGGGTGCCCAGCCCCACAATCACAATCACAGCACAGCTCCTACCCCTCAGGCCCCAGCGTGGAAGAGAGGCAGAAAGGCCGTGCTAGTCAGAGGACCAGGAAGTCGCTGTGACTCTGCGTCTTCCCGCTGGGACGGAGAAGCTGTACCTACCACACCTCAGCAGCATGGCTGGCCAAACAAGACCTGAGCAATTCCTGTACCAGCTGACCCTACGGTAGATGGGGAAAATCTCCCAGGCCCAAGCACCCACACGAAGAGCCAACAACTTGGGAGAGAGGAAGTACTAGTTTTCCCGGGATGACCCCCGCTTGGTTACCCAATGGCAAATGCTCAGCCCTGGATACAAACGCATGCACCACCCCTGAGGGGTGTCAGCAGGTTGGATTCCCACGTTTTGTTTGTTTGTTTGTTTGTTTGTTTGTTTAAGGCAGATTCTCACTGTGCAGCCCTGTCTGGCCCAGAACTCATTATGTAGACCAGGCTGGCCTGGAACTTACAGAAATCCACTTGCCTCTGTCTCCTAAGTGCTGAGACCACAGCCAGCTATTTTCATGATTTTAGGGTGTGTGCGGGTGCTCTTGGGGCCCAGAAGAGGGTGCCTCCTGGTAATGTGGGTGCCGGGAACTGAACTCAGGTCTTCTGCAAGAGCAGCAAATGCTATTAACTGCTGAGCCGTCTCTCCAGCCCCCATCTAATCTCTTTTTAATGTTGAAAGATTCCGGCATTTAAGAAGTGTGACACACGTGTCCAGCGTAAATGTGTCATTGAGTAATTTTTTGTTTCAGACTGGAGACTTTTTGATGAACCGTGAGGCAGGAAGGAGCGCTTCCTCCAGAATCTGTGGTTCCAGGATGTTTAAAGGGCTCGATGCATTTAATCTATTACAAGCGCTAAGTGTTGTGGCTGGCCGTGCTTCTATTGAGCTGAAGAAAATCGAATGGTTTAAATTTGTAAAAGCAGAATATTTAGAGAATTTAATTAACTTCCATTTTAAGTGGGCCATGAAGTTGTTGAAACTGGATTTGGCAGAACATTAATCAAACGAGCCTGGAAAGTGGATGTTACAATTTCCTAGGTTTATAGACAGAATTAATACTTGCAAGTAGAACAAAGACGATGTTTCTTCTTCTTTCTTTTCTTTCTTTAAACTCTGGGCCTTCTAGACTCTGACGGCACCTCTACCCAAAGGCACCTGCACGTATATGTTCATAAGTTCTTTCTGTAAATTATCTTAGATTTCTTTATGTTATGTGTTTGGGTGTTTTGCTCCTGTGTTTGTGTGTGTATGTGCTCCATGTGTATGCAGTGCCCACAGTGGCCAGAAGAGGGAGTCAGATCTCAGAAACCGGAGTTGCCGTAGGGCTGTTTAGCAGCCTTGC